TGTTACGCCTCATTTTATGAGCCTCGGAACCACTCCGACCCCCCGAAGCCTCTCCGAAGTGATACACCGATTCCTGCCACTGATCTGCCGAAGTGTCCCGTCTCCGAGGTCGGGTTCAAGTGGCTTGAACCCCCGTTAGAAGATTCGCTGCCAATTTAAGATTTGCTCTGCATATAAGGTTTAAATTGATGTGACGTCCCCCATAAAGCTATTTGATGTGACTTATCAACTTTATGTCAATTCAACTAGGGGGAAACAAACTGTCCGCCCACTCTACAAGCGCGGCTGATTGACGCCTATGAGCAGACGCTTCATACCGTCAGATGTATACACGTGTTCCACATCCCACGGTTCATACCACCTATAAATACCCAAAGATTGGCCAGAGGCAAAGGTAATGAAACTCTCAATAGATAGCACTCCATAACAAGTTTATATATTCTCCTCCCCCTTTATTGACTGATTGATTTGTGTAGTCCCTGGGCACTGTTCCGACCACCCAAACCTGACTTGACCGTCGGAGTGTATACGGCCGCCACCACCGTGGGTTCCGGCCGTGTGCGCCTGACAGTTTGTTCATTTCGTAGGGAGGAATACGTGGAGTAGCTACAAGTTGGCCACGTGGAAGAGCCATTTTTAGAGGTCAACACAAACAATGCCATTTGTAAGCACTGCAGGTGGACAAAAGTCAGTATAATAGCGTAATCATTGTCATATTCTTAAATTAATTAAATAATGTAAGAGCGAACTTACTAATCCCTAGACCCTTGTCTCTGAGTGATGCTTACAATTAACATCTCTTTTCATATGTATATTGGCAACCAATGACTACTATTTTTTGTCGAAATGTTCACTTTCTAGGTTGTTTTATAAGAAGGAAAAAGATATATGTACGAAAGTGGGTTATCGAATTATGTCCCCCCTCACAAAACATGCGAGCCCGTGTGTATTTAAAATATTCGAGTCGTGGTCCTCACCTCTTATTATGAATAGTAAGTAAAAGATTAGATAAAATTTTTAAATATACGTAGCATAGTCCTTCATAGGAAATAGAGTAATGATATATTCACTAGTGAAAATCTTCTATGTGACATTAGAACTAGACCTAATTCCACCAGCTTGCCTCTGCTATTCCATAATAATCTAAAGTGGCCCCAAATGAAACGTTGTGGCCATTTGTAGTCCTATGAGGCTATGACCTTCAGCAGCTCATCATGGATGCACATGATAGTGATTCGATATTTATAGACAATTGAGCAGAGGACGAAGGCAGTCAGAACATGGGGCTTGTGCAATTACAACATGGCTCAGCAATTTCACAGTGTAATGTTTTTATGTCTCAAGAACCATCACGTCATAGTTGCAGTTCAACGTAGAAAGATTAGAATACATTCGGTTTGCTATTTTCAAGTTGTTTTCTGTTTTGCAAAGCACCAAAAACGTATTTTGTCTGATATTTTTGAAAATGCATTTTCAAAAACAATAATAAATTTATAATATAAAGGATTTTGCTGTGTATACAATTATCGTGTATACACACGATGACACGGACCATGCTAAATGTACCTAATTTTTTTTTACCTAATACTTTACATACACTTACAATAAGGGTGTGGAGACCGCATTATGAGATTATTTTATTTACGTGGGGTCCACGTGCTTGTGAGAATAGGCAAACCATTTGATAAACCAAATTATGTACACTTAGAATTATCCCAATGACACCCCCCTCACATGGAGGGTGCCCCTCATATGGTCGCCCTCCATGTGAGGTAAATTATGCATGGACCTACTTTTATACGAGAGGATTGTAAAGTATTTTGTACATCGAAGGTGTAGACGTAGCATAACTCCAATATAAAACCCCAAATACAAGTTTCATGTTTTTTTTTCTTTCAGTAAAAATTCTAAAAACACTCGATGAAAAATAATCGCTTGAATAAAATTTTATTCCAGTAAAATTTTGAAAATTATAAATTTTTAAAAAATATATATTGATTGATGCTCTTGACGATTATTTACACAAAAGTTCTAAAAAATATTTAAATAAACATGGTTAAAAAATATTCTTAATCCATGTCATTAATTTTAATTTTAATTTTCTATATTTTGAAGCCAATTTATTTTTTATTTTTATTTTACTTTTATAACGAGAAAAAATATTGTAAAAGTCACTAGTTTTAAAATGTATATATTACTTCGTAATATATCAACATGGAATCATTCTCTTTTTGCTAAATAATCAAATTTAGCGGAATAAAATATTATAAAATAATTTTCCAAAATTTCTAATCAAACATATTTTCTAATTTTCTATTTTAAGAAATAAATATTTAGAATGACAAATTAAACTCATTTTTAGTAATCTTAAAACAAACCCTCAAATCAGAAAACTGAAAATGAATTCAAAACTGAAACCTAAAAAACTGATCAAACAGGCCATTACATTTTTCCAACAAAAAAAAAAAAAAAAGGGGGGGGGGGGGGGGGGGGGGGGGGGGGGGAATAAATAAAAAAATCAAACATGAGACAAGACCTGAAATAGTAACAACTCCATTAATTACAACGAACAGTATAATGACATTTAAATGAGCAGTCATCCAATTTAATCGAGAATAATAATTTGTTTTCGGTTTTCCAGTTCTCCATCACGATAAACCAAGAACTAAAACGTTAACTCCACTTGACTACATGCCCTCTCTTTTGATGAATGTATCGAAAGTAAAACAATGGATATGTTAGATCAGCATACTACCTCTGTGTTCTATACCTTCAAATTTGTTTTGCAACTCAAAAGATTTAATCTTCAATCACTTTCAAGTCAAGGAAACAGAGAAAATGAAAAGGAACAGAACTCCGGAAGAAAAGAACGTCAGTGAAGATGCTGGAGATGTTAGCTTAGCATTTTGGTGCCATTTGTGGACGGTTTGATGATGTGTATGTTCATCCCCCTTGTCCGTCCTGGTGCCCCACCTTTAGTTGAAGATAAATCGAGCAAAAACCTACACGAAAGGCTTAAGAAGTTAAAATTTAAAAAAACCAGAAACATCTTAAATGCTTAGCTGTAGATAACATACGTGTTTCTATCCGAGTTTTCTTCTGCATTGCCACAGTTTATGAGGATCTTCTGATCAATTTTTGAAGCTGTATGCTCCAGAGGCACTTCAACAAATTCTGGCACTAAAGCTCCAAAAGATCATTTTTAAGATATACTAATTTTGTACTTAAAATTAAAGGGAAACCAATGAAATGAAACCATTGGTTGAGACACTTACATAATTTGTGTATGGTCTCGGCACCCTCATTAAGGCCCAATAGTTTCTACAACACATTAAAAAATATAATCTCAGATGTCACTCTTTTTTGGTTCTTTGCAGATAAAACTTTAAAAGATGCCATTAAGATGAAATATATGTTTGTACAAGGTGCAGGAGCATGAATCACCTTAAGATTCTTGTAACAAGTCTCAAGGTCATCATTCACCAAGATATGATCAAAGAGGCCTGGTGAGTTTCCCTGTTCAAGCTCCACCCTAGCATTTTTGAGCCGCTTTTGGATCTGTTCCTCTGTCTCAGTCCCCCTGTTCCCACGGTTAACTTTTATCAACCAAAATGCAAACAGGAGGGAGAAATTTTTTAAGGCACGTTTGGATTCAGTATGAAGGATTAGTTGGTACTTTTTCTTACTTAATACTATCCAATACTGTTAAATTCACACTACCAAACATGTCATCAATGTCCAATACTAACCCACCTTGCCCGAAGGCGCTTCTCAAGATCTTCAAATGAGGGAGGACGGATAAAGATAAAAATGGCTTCAAGAGAACTAGCCCTCACAGACCTTGCTCCTTGAACATCAATGTCAAGGATGCATCTCTACATTACAAGAATGCAAAACAACCTCAAGTTCGTAAGATAAAGAAGCATCATTATATAATGCATGACACTTTGTCAATGTTACAGTAGAAGCCGACAATTCGATAGCAAAAATTCTTCTCCCTCACTTTATTCTAGGTGGGTTAAGAAGAGCTATACACATTGCACAAGATGAGTCCATTTCAAGGCAGCAAAACATATACCTTTCCTTTATCCGTAACTGCCTCAACAGCTTCTATACTGGTTCCATAAAGGTTTCCATGGACGGACGCAAACTCAAGAAACTTTCCATCCTGTATATCTTTCTCCATGACATTACGTTCAGTGAAATGGTAATGCACCCCATTCTGCTCTTTGTTCCTTGAAGCACGGGTCGTGTGGCTTACTGAAAATCCAAACTTTGATGGAAATTCTTCCACCAGTTTGGAAATTAGGGTACCCTTACCAACTCCAGAAGGACCGCTAATTACAATGGGTATTTCAGCTTCGCCAATAACTCCTTTACTCCAAGCAACCACATCAGTCTCAAATCTCCTTTTTTGTTCTCTAACAAATGCAGTATTCACCTGCAAAATAAGTAACAAAGTTAGCTGGTTAAAGACTAGAACAAAACTAACAATAATGTATAAGATCATGGAATTGGGTATTTATCATGCTTAAAATTCAAGAACATCAGGTTTTGATTCATGTTTGATCAAGGTCCATGGAGAAAAATATATGGATTCTTTCACTTATCATTGACTCAAGTCGTCATAAGTTCTCGAGTCATCAATGAAATAAAGAAAAATCATGCTTCTATCCATTTTCCAAAGAGCAAGAGGTACCAACTTCGAGAAACCAAAAGCAATCATCAGAAGTGGAGTTTCCCTTAATAACCAAAATCCTGTCTTCATCAAAAAGAACAGCTGAATAGCATTTTGAAGAGTTGGGTTTTGCTCCCAACACAATAGGGATTACCCTGCAAATTTTATCGATATATTTCAGTGCCATGACAGAACTAATGATAACTTCTACAAACTAGTCTGTTTATTAAAAACTCACCAATCACCTATAGATTTGTCATAGATCCGAACTTCAATGTTTGATGTTGATTCATTGTCCATCCCACCAATGACATACTAAAACAAATTAGGGACTCAGAATACTAGCTTATTACCAAGAAACTTTCCATTATATGCAAGAAAAAATAACAAAAATTTGAAGAAAATATATTCAATATGCTGATTCATCATACTGTTTTACTGAGGCCGATGTTAATAGCCGTTTCATGGCCTTCCAATTTTAAAATATCCCCATTTGTTAAATCTTTCTTTAGATCGTCTATGAAGAAAGCTGGAGCTTCACCCTGATTACAACATGACAAAATTGAACATCAGGTCACAGTATCAGCCATTTATCAAAGCCTTCCTTTTTTTCACTACTTTGGGGCCAATTAAAACGAAAAACTAAAAATAAAAATTGTATATACAATATGCTCACCATTAACACAGGCTATCCTCAAAAATGAGACTGAATCTGATATTAAAAATAAATAAATAAAGGAAAGATGAGATCAAAACAAAAATCAAAATTCTGGATCTTAAATTACATATAAAACTTCAACTCGAACAGAAATATCCGGAAATAAGATTAAAAACATTTTAATGCCCAAATCTTTAGCTTAAACAAAAAAAAAAAAAAAAAAGGTTTCGATTACATATACGATCTGAAACAGCATTGACTTAAGATATACGCATCTTGCGGCTTTCAATAAATTTTATAAAAGCCCATTAAATATAACAGTTTTCATAATTCAAAAATTAAAGTCCTTTCTATTTACGGAGCTTAGATAATGATTGTTAAACATTAAACAATTCTTGAAAACAGAAAAAATAAAAAATAAATCACCTGAATCTAGCTAATAGAAGGAGAAGAAACCAATAATTCGAAGTAGAGAGAATGACAATACCTGTCAAATAACAATTTATGCTAATTCAAGAGAAGTCACTTGAAAAGAATCAATAGAAAACCAAAGACAACGCAAAAAATTTAAATAAGGACAAACTTGAAAAATTAGAAATTTCGTAGAAGAACAAAAATAATTTGCAAAAAATTTCGAGCGGTGCTTTCATATTTGGAGCGCGAGAGAGAACAAATGGCGACAAAAGAAAGGTGAGAAAGGTGGCTTTTTGGCCCTCGTTTGCCCCCTTTACATCTAGTTAAATTAAATTAAATTTTCTTTTTTAACTACACATTTTTAATAAAATAATATTACACGTAAATTAAAAGTTTCTCATTCTTTTATTATCATCAATTTTTCAAAAAAAAAAAAATTATTCCCTCGTTATAAATTAAATTAATAGAGGCCAAACAGGAATTTGATCCCATTTAGTTCACAAAACTTTAAAATTTAAAGTCCATGTAGACTTCCTTTAACTATATATATGTTTAAAAAGGAAAATTCTCTCTTGGGTAATATTTAGACATTAATGATTTATCCGAGGTAACTTTTGTCAAAATAGATTTGTAATAGCAATTTTTCTTAGAATTTGTAATTAAAAAGTTAGATTAATGTATCAAATTATTTGATTAAAAAAATATATAGTTGAAAATGAATTTGTAAGTAATGAAGCTAAAAAATGAGCTACAAAATGGAATGGCCTTTTGATTTGTGTATCAATTTTGAGATTTGAGTTTTATTTTATTTTTTTTTATGGGAGTTTGTTTTAAGATTGTTAAAAATAAATTTGATTTATTATTTTAAAAAATCATTTCTCAAAACAAAAAACGAGAAAATACGTTTAATTTGGAAGTTTGAAAAATTATTTTATGACATTTTTATTTCATGAAATCTAATTATCTAACAAAAATATAAAAATTTTATGTTAATATATTATCAAATAATATATATATCTTAAAGTCGATGAATCCCACAATATTTTTTTCTCACTTCAAAAGTAAAATAAAAATAAATAATAAATTGAGGTCAAAATATAAGAAATAAAAATTAATAACATGGACTAAGAATATTTTTAGGTGTGTTTATTTAAATATATTTTGAAATTTTTTATGTAAATACTCAAGAGCTTGACTGTTTTTATTTTTTATTCTCCATATTTTCAAAATTTTTCATTTTATCTTCTTAAAATGTTATTTGTTAAAACTCTATACATTTATATTTTAGCTTTTTTAATTTTTAAAATTTTATTTAAAAAACGCTTGTTTTCTATGTTTTGAGTTTTCTAATTTTTCACTGAAAATACTCAAAACGTAAAAAATGTTTTTGAGTTCTATACTATAAGTTTATCCTTGTTTTTGAAAATGTATTTTCATAAATAATAGACCAAACACATGTTTAGCATTTTGCAATATCGAAAATGATTTGAAAAGGTTTTAGGTTACAATACCAATAGAGATAATAGCCTTTTTTAGTTTAGATAAAAATCGATATTTTTAGTAAATTTTGATAGAAATTAATTTGTGATGTGAGGTTAAAATTAATTTGGCTTGAACTTTAATCAAAATTTTTAATACAGGTACATAATATTTTACAATCATGTGTATAGTTGCTTAGAAAAACTCCTATGGTCACCCAAGTTATGGAAAAGTTTTATTTTAGTTACTCAATTTTAATTTTTATTCAATTTAGTCATTTGATTTGCCTAACTTTAGTGAATGAAAATAAAAGATTTTGCTGAAATTATTCATTTGAAATTTCCAAAACGCTAATCATATATACAAATCTACATACTAACCTAGTGTTGATCAGTATTCTAAAAGGCCCGTCTAAACGTCGCCTAGGCATCGTTTAGGTGTGAGGCTTGAGCAAAACGTCACCCTTGGCAATAAGCGCCTAGTGACACTTTATTAATTTTTTAAAAGCCTTTTATTTAACTTTAGTTTCCAGTTTTTTAATGACTTTATCAATATAAAAAACAAAAATACGAAAATATGTTAAAAATTCAAATAGGACTTGCCTAGTTGAAAGTTGAAGTTATAAAAAATAGTCTAGTTTGGCATGTATTGTTTTAATTATTAAATAATTTTTAAAATGATTAGAAATTTAAAATAATATTAAAATAAGATAACGCTTGTTACGCCTAATTCTCGCATAAGCTCGTAAAATTTGAAACTTGACCTCCACAACTAATCATACTTTACATCTCTTCGAACACTGATGTTGATATGATGAAGTTTATTGCGATAATGAGACCATGTTAAATGGTTTGCCATATTTTTCCTATCTTCAGTGCTGACTCAACCAAAATTAAGTATAATCTCTCATATTCTTAAGTCAATTGTATCGTTCAATAATTTACATATTGAAATTCATATGCAATTAAATGCTTGAGAAATGAATGATAAATGAGAGTTACTTTAACAAGAAAAAACGTTATCTTTTCAATTCTTTATAAAAATAACTCGAGTTATGAGTTCGTTTAAGAGGACAAGTCATTTTCTTTGGTTCAATTCCTCTTAAACGTTTGCTCTCTTTCCAAAAGCTAAATCTTTGTTCGTGAAACATTATTAATAAATTTAATTTAATAATACGTTAAAGTCTAATACAATTTTTCGTCTTTTGGCACAGCAAATATGAATATGGAGCCAATTATCAACTATACTGCCAATTAAGCCAAGCAGCAAGAGAGACTTGTCGTTTAAAGAAATAGAGATAAAAAGATGGAATTGATGGGAAGGTGCCATTGTTCAGGTCCAATGAATGTGATATGATCAATAAATGTAGGGTCGACAAAACATTTGTTCTGTTTAGGTTGTTTCCATGAATTCTTCAAATTGATTAACCCCTCTTTAGAAGTTCAAATTAATCATTTTTATTAAGACGGCTTGCATTATATTCATATCTTTAAATGTATTGGTCTTTAAAGTGGATTCTCCTCGACCTCAATCCCAATCCTAACCCCGAACTCGACATCGATCGACCTCAACCTCTCGACAATTTATATTCACTTTCATTTTATAAGCATATTGGGCTCCGATAAGTACCGTTGCCAGCCATGCAAACACAAACAAACAAGAAAACTTGTGAAGAATAAAGGCCACAAGCCACCACCTGAGAAATCAATACAAAAGTCTCACACTTCATCTTCATTCCGAACATACAACACAAATTACAGCAGAACTAATATCCTAAGATTTAGTTGATTTATCCCTAGTTGGTGTAGATTTGTGTTGAAAATTCTGTTAAGAATATAACATGTAGTGAGAAGGGCTTCCCCCAACATGGATAAAGGTAATCTAGAAGAGTTTTGTATTGAAGTGACCATATCCTTAAGAGTTCTATTTTTCCTTTCAACTACACATTAGATTGAGGAGAATAAGATTGAGTAGTCTCATGAATAATACCATTATCAAAACAATATTTATCAAAATCACCTATATATTCTATCCCTATCGGGCCTTAAAATATTAATGGTTTTTCTAGCTAATTTTCTACTTCAGATTAATATGAAATAAATTTGAATAACTTTCATCCTTACTCTTAAAAAGATAAATGTAATAATATCAAGAATAATCGTCAATCAAAATTAAAATATATTTATTTATACTACAAGTAACATATCCTTTTAAATCACATAAATCGGAATGGATTAAACTTAAAAGGAGAGTAGTTCTGTCGACATGAAGAAATGGTTTTCTAGTATACTTAGATCAACACAAGTTCACATTTTGTATTTGAAAATACAAAATGTCTCCCAAACTCATTATTTTTCAATAGAAGTTATATCAACGTGTTAAAGTCTAGCATGCCACAAATAATAAGAATCTAGCAAGTAAACAGAAAAGTAGATGCTTTATTATTGATTATAGAGTCATTGAGTTTAAAGAGACTCTCATCTGCATGTCATTTCCGAACAAAAGAACCACCCTTAGATAGTACAATTTAGTCACTCTCAAATGCAATCTTAAATTCCTTTTTAACTAAGATAAATTCAAATACTAGATTTTTCCTAATTTCAAATACATAAAGGATATCCTTCAAACTAAGGATATTTCTAGAAGTAAATCTAAGTGTCACTATTCATTTCCCTTCGATTTTGGAGGAAGCACTCCTCGTGAACAGACATTCTCCATCATTAGTAGGAGTGAATGAAAAAAATGTACCTCTCGTGCAGCAAATGTGCTTGGTAGTTTCAGAATCTACCCACCAATCTATGTGTTGCTTACTAGATTAATTTCTGTCACCATAGCAGAGAAATCCACATCCACTACTACATGTGTCTGATTTTTCACAATTTTTCCTTTCATGCTTCTGTAATCCTTTGCAATGACCCCTGGTTTACGATGCACAAATCAGTCACCAATAGTTTTATTTTAAAATTAGGGTTTAGACCATTTGTTCTTTCTTACGAATTGCTTTCCCTTGTTTCTACCTTTAAAGTTCTGACCTTCGGTAAAATTTTCAACAATTTTTTTATTACTAGAACTTCCTTCAATAAAATTAGCTTTGGTATCGAAATCTAGTCTATCCCTATGTTCTACCATTCTATTATTCTCCTCAATTCTAATTCTAATAATCAGATCCTCTAAGGTCATTTCTTTTCTATTCTGCTTCAAACTATTTTTATACTCTTTCCAAGAATGTGATAATTTTTCAATTATAGCAGATATTTGAAAATCCTTACAGATTTCATGAATTATGATCTGTAATTCTTCAACTTGACTAACCACAGTTCTAATGTCATCCATTTGAAAATCTAGAAATTTTTTCTACAACAAATTTCTTAGTTCCAGTATCTTCGATAACATATTTTATATATATATATATCATGACAACTAATTATAAATGAATTTTACTTTAGAATATTGAAAAATAACTAGTTGTCGTAACTTGCAAAACAGTGAAATGGAAAAATAGAACTTATCGATTGATCGAGTTTCATGACAGCATAATATCCTAGAGTGAAATTTTATGTTGTTAACCACTGTGACCTTTGTAGACAAATCACTCACAGGATACAATGGTCAACCAAATCACTTGTACAATAATTACGAATGATTTTAGAACTCTCAAGTGTACTCGATATATATATAACGCGAGTATGAAAATTATAATTTTACATTTTTATGTAACTTTTCCAAAATTAGATGAGTGCTTATATCGACAAAATAGATATAAGTACCCCTACATGATCTAGAAAG